TACGAAAATCTCGTAGCTATAACACTCTAAGAAAAAAGGGAGGAGAAAGGTAGCAAAAGCGAGTGTTCCTCCTTGTGGCGGACAAGTTGCCCAGAGAAGGGAGGAACGGCAGTTCAGATGAAAGGAGGAGGGCGAGTTCCTCCTTGTTCAGTTGGCGCAGGGGTAGAACATCGCGCTACTGACCAAGTGGTCAACGGTTCGATCCCCAGGAAGGTGTTTTTTTTTTTTTTTTTTTTTTGTAAAGTTTTTTTTTTATTTTTGTTTACCAAAACACACATAAACAAACCCAGACCAATGAAAGGAAAATTAAAGTCCTTATTATTCTCCGAGACGTTTTCCTCCTCCAGGCAGACCGGAGAAAGCTTTCGCCCTCCCGACCCATCTTCTTTCGGTTTCGTTTTTCGAGCACATCGCGCACGTTGTTTAATAAATTAATGTTGAGTTGATTGAGCTTCAGCGGCAGCGAAGGCCGCCTGTAATTCCGTCTTCTAGTCCAAACGTGCAGAACATTTCGGTTGCATTGACGTTTTTACCACTAATTTTATCAAATGAGCTAACGAAGCCGCTAGAAACAGCGAAGTTCCGGAGCAGTGCCAGCAGTGCTACATACACTGGGTAAGACGGCCGTCTCCAATTTGCGGGACACACGCGGAACTACAGCTGCTACAGCAGCGAAACCACGAGGAACTGTGTCGACGTTTTCGACGTTATGGAAATCGCGGGCACTGCGTCCAAGGAAGGCAGGTTTTCCTGCCGGCTGCCTGGGTGCCTTCCGTGCTGAGTTCGGTTCCGTTGTCCCGTGCCGAGTGCCAACCGGCGTTCAACGTGATTCTTCTGCGTGTCAGCAACATCGTCAACGTGGTTCTGTATTTCTTCGTGTCAGCGACATCGTGATGGCAGTGTTGTGGGTTGTGAACAGAAGACTGGAGTTATCGCCGATGTGACCGTGTGTTCGCGTATCAGTGGTGTAACAACAAGATGAGATGACGTAAACTGTCGGGCATTGATGCCGCTGGTCGGGCCGTTATCGGAGGGGCTGGGGTGTCGCAGGATGACATTCCGCTTTACATTAAAGAGTTTAAAACCACTTGAGGGATTAGGTGCAGTCGATCGACGTGTGGATAGTCATGTTGGAACGCTGGTCTGAACGGTAAGCTCCTATCGTACAGTGGCCAATGTGACTGTCGGTCCCCGAGAGCGATTGCGCTCTGGGGAAAAGACAACACTACGAAAGTATGACGGAAAGTACGTATATTTATAATGGAAGTTTAGCAGAAAAAAAAAAAAAGACAGGCAAAATCGAAAAAAAACGCTATCCTTTATTTTACTGTTTAAATATATTACGGTTCCTGTAGAAACTGCCCTCTAAGTGGCGCGCTGGGATGAGCGCTAGAAGTTTTCGAGCTCGCAGCGGCGCAGCTCCGTACACTTAACAGTTGTCGGAAGTCGCGGCTTTGACTGCATTCAAGTTGATCGAAAAGCGATTTCTGTGCCCGTGAAGCATCACTTCCAGCTGTGTGGATATCCGCTCTACAGAGATTAATTCAAGACGGCAATTGCAGCTTTGCGCGAACAGCACAAATAGAAAAACGAACACTACGATATAAATACTGGCTACGAAGGGCCATGCGGGAAAACAAACTCATGGCTTGGAACCACATTGGAGCGGCTCGATTTATTGGCTTTCAAATAATTATGGCATGATTGAGCGTCTTCTTTTTAATAAGAGATTCATCCCCTGAGCCATTAAAAATAGCCTCAGATGTATGACATTGCTGGAAAAAAATGAACATGTTCGGAATATTTTTTTTTGCTTAGGGAGTCACCGAAAAATTCCGCACGTTCAAAACGACCACTATAAAAGACGGAAACGTAGGACTCGCTAGTAGTGATCGGGGTAGTGTGCTGTTGTATTGATGTTTGTATGTGCGATGCGTTCAATATATGTTGACCTGATGTTTGTAGTGTGCGCAACGTGTCTACATGTGTTAGAGATTCCGAAGAAAAGGAAACGCAATTGTGGCGTAAGAAAATAAAAATATTTTTTTGTAAAACATGAATTGGGCGGTACCTAGCGCCACCTAGCCTAGCTACGTGCGATTACTCTGCTTGACCCTGCCATCTGGTGGCAAGCGATTTAACATCCTTTTACGCTACGCGGCTACGCCATAATTTCGTGTTACCGTGCTGAGATAAGCCAAGAGGTTTCTTCGGATTTGCTTTTTTTTGAGAGCGGCTTTTGGTTTTGCGGGCGAATGATTTTCACTCCTCCGTGATGTGCGGTTGACGCTACGGTTGACGAAGGAATTGTGGCTCGAGGAATAGCAAAGGTAGGACATAAAGTGCGCGAACTGAGTGCCGGTTGTCTCCGTTGAACATCGCAGTGTTGACGATGAGAAGACTGAGTGACTGCATGCTTTCGAAACGTAAGTTTCTTTACCTGCAGGGGTAAAGAAACTTCGGAAACAAATACAGTTCGCGGAAAGCTCGTGTTACGTTTTTATTTCCTGCTCCTCTCGCTTCGTGCAATAGACTTAGTGTTCTCGTTAAGCCTTACCGAGCTCGATTTGCTCGATTTGTGGCCGCCATAATGAGATGCAGTCGACGGAGGAACTTTTCCTCCCCTGCTTAAGGGACGAAAGTTTCTCCCTTTCTGAAGGAACATATGTGTCAAGAGCGTTCCTCCCTTTAGGGAGGACTATACTGACCCTTTTTTCTAAGAGTGAAGTCTCACCCAGCGTCTTCTACAGCGGGCAAACGAAGTCCCGCTTCTCAATGTGCTTACAGCACACAATGGCCGATGTTGACGGTGCCTTTCCAATCCCTAGCCTGACTGTCCACGCTTTCTTTGATCTCGACGTCTTCTGGTGGTAAAATCTGATACTGGCTTTTTTGGGGGGGATTGCATTGCGGCACTGAACAGTGGGTCAGGATGATCACAAGCCTACGATCGTGAGGAAGCGCGCGCAGGGGAGCGAGCCGGATGCCAGAACGCGAAGGGGAGTCCTTCGCCAGACGTCATGGTACACCTCACCCAATCATGACGCAGCGACAGCAGCAATGCTGGCGTTCGCTCCCGGGGCTCAACATCTCTGTGCAACATGCCCAGGTGGGCGCAGTTTTCCCCAAGTCTAAAAATATTACGATGAATAGAGAGAAAAGATGGACAAAGAGACATCTGCGCCTCTTCCTCTCAGCTCTTCGACTCGTTTCGTTATGGGGTTAATGGTAAGCTGCGAAACCACCTCACCCACTAAAGCCTCAGCCACACAGTTTTTTACATCCTTCAAAAGACACGGAGTACTGCACAGAGATCTATGAGAGAATTTATCCGTGGACACGCGTCAAGAATGTTCGAAGCAGGTTCGCTTGATGCGTATGCGTGCTATGATCACGCCTAAAATTTTTTGTATGACCGATGTGACAGGACCTTCATACGAGGAAAAAAAACACACCTCAGACCAGCGTTTGCAGACTGTCTTCTGTATGATGTATTGGTAGTGCGACTACGACTTTACCCTTCAGCAGTGTGTAGATGCAGGGCTACGGAAACCACGCTAGGTTTGCCAACTTCGCACAGTCATTTTGAAGGTTCATGTAGCCTCCTTTTCTGCGAGGAAGAAACTTTCCTCTGGCATTTGCCCTTTGTGCTGTTTCTATCCACGTTACTATCTAGATTACCTCAGTTGTGGAACTCCCGAGGAAGGGGGAACCCCCCATCACTCACTTGTGTCCGCCTCCCGTTGTTTCAAGCGACATCTAGATTTTCGTTTCATAACTGTGTGTTCCATAGAGTGTGGAGGAACGCCACCTACTAGGCGCTGTGCTTCGAAACGTAAGTATTCCATAGAACGCATTGCAGTTACCGTCGCAGCCATCCGGCGCGTCGAACGGCGGGGAGGAGAGTCTATGAGCAGTTTCGTAACTGAGCTAATCTAATAAAGTGGGTCACATCCCACACAAAAAAGATTTCCTCGATGATTATTTTTCTTTGCTGGTATTGAAATTTCGAACGATAGGACGACTGGCTTTGCCTACTTGTATAAATATTTTTTTCTTTAAGGGAAGCGGTATTATTGCGAGTTATTACTGTGTTCTTTAATTTAATTCTATAAAAGGACTGAGATGGTTCAGGCTGTTTTGTATCTCGGAAAGCGGCCGGAAAACCCTCCTGCTTATCTTGTACAATGGGCTGCGTTTGATTCTCTTTGTGCCCATTGCGTTCCCGCTTTCATTTTTTTGTCAACGCATGCGGACGCTCTGCCTGCAGAAAGGCGATAACGCCTAGACTCAGAAAGCGTGTTTCAGACCAAACGGAACTATGCTGGCGAGTTTTGACACAGACGCCTCATTACTTTTCGTACAAACATTTTTTTTTTTTTACAGACAGAAGAAAGTGTATTATTAATATAAATACGAAATCCGGAAGCTTTACCACGCAGTACGAAACTCATACTTTCTGCGCTTGTACGTCTACACAGTCTATAGGAAGGGAGGCATCAGTTTCAGGCAGCGTCCTAACTTAGACCTAGCCATCTAAATTGCTCAAGCTGAGACGTAAGACACTTGTAGTGGCATATATCTAAGTTCCACGATGGTGCCTGGAACATGCCTCCAACTGATGTGCTTAGTCTCCTATCTTTGCCCATGCATCGAAAGCGGTTCCTAAGTGGCAATAAATGACGTCACAAAAAGAAAACGGAGTGTCATGCTGTCGGATGTCGCGATCCTGGCGATGTGACGTAGAAAAAGCTGGCGAAAAAGCGCGAACAAACACAAGTGTCGCTGTCGTCGTGAAGGCGTCCCAACTCCTGGCTGCAATAGCTTCCATGGACTATCAAGCTTGAGAGCGACCTACCACCGTGACGCCGCCAGGCGGCAGCATGCCGCTATAATGACGTCACGAGGCGGAAATCGAGGAACCGCTTTGCGGTAAATTTACGCATCGATTGGAGACGCGCGTTCCAGGCACCATATACCACACGCATTGGAACACTCACGGCTCGGGAGTGTAGAGGGGCTGGGACGGGTGCCTGATGTACTGGGTCGAGTGGAAGACGCGGAACGCCAGTCCCGCCAGGAAGTCACGCGACGACAGGAGTCCGGCTACGGGTCTCAGCGTAAATCCGGTGCAGTCTGCGAGAACACGCACGAAAAAGAGACGTAAGGTGACTTTAATGAACGATTCAATAAATAAATGCACGGGTTTTAAAGGCATATGGGCTAAGTTCGACCAAAGGGGGCCAATGACGTGTTAGCAGCGACCTTCGAACAAAGGGGGGGAAGAGGGACTGGGGGGATCCCCCCTTCCGAAATACTTCGAAATTGTCAAAAAAAAAAAAAAACATATATATATTTCTAAAACTTCTAGTAAACAGATATTTCTAAAACCTAAAGCAAACATAAACACAAACGAAACGCTTTTATTACATCTGGGATGCACCACGTTTGTACACATGGCTTGCATTGACGTCACGTCGGCCACTATTGCTCCGTACCATGCTCTTGCGCCCGTATCTTTTGCAGCCTACATTTAAAATCATGGAACCTGATTTTCCCCACTAGGCTTGCCAAGAAAAACGATTTCTATTTTGCGAAATTTATGTTGCAGAAGGTAGGGGCTCAGGAGTATGGTCCGGAGCAATGGCTGCGGCTACTGTGCCATTTGAAGTCACATGCAAGGCATCTATACGACATCCGCCACTTTCCCCGTTGGTCTGCATGCGGACGCTCAGCAACGGCCGAGCCCCACTAGAGCGACAAGCAGAAACAACCGGCAAGCCGGAAGCACGTGCAGGAAGCAGACGGAGGTATCTTTGACAGGCTCGCAATCACTCGCGCGTAGTTCACGAGCACCGAGAGACTAGGGTCGCCTTGGTATCACGCTCAGCGCTGTGGCAGCAGGACGTTTCAACGTGTTTTACTAAACCGGAGCGCAAACTGCATTTTTCAGGGACGAAGCTGCGCAGGGGCTAGCCATGTCCGTATGTCCGTCCGCCTTCGGGTGCACGTGCTCCTGCTCGTGAGCTCACGCGCTCACGTGCTCACGAGCACGTGCTCCCGTGCTCGTGTAGGGCAAAAAAAAAAAACGCATCTCCACGTGGTGAATGATGTTGATTGGGGCGAAGCTCTGGTGGTGCTTGCCTGCGTAGACGGTGAGCCGCAGCGTGCCGAGCCTTTTGTTCGTTTTCATCCATGTCAGAAAGAGAATATGTGGTATGGAACGTGGTTATATACGCATTTGAGCATTTGACCGCAGCGTGACATGGCTGAAAACGAACGAAAGGCTCGGCATGCGTCTACGCAGACAAGCACCACCAGGGCTTCGCCCCAATCAACATCATTCACCACGTGGAGATGCGGTTTTTTTTTAAGTCTAAACTTCTGCTGAGCTTCCTCATTCGCCGAGCCCCCTGCAAAGATTCTTGCTCTCCCTGCGAAGATTCTTGCTTTATGAGCCAGCCCCAGAGATTTTTTGTCCGTGGCATGTGACCTCGATGACGCCACGTAACATGTGGACGTCGCGTTGCATCATAAGGTCACCTGACACCAAGTCGTCATTTGACGTTGTGACAGTTTTATATATTCACCAAACCTTGAGTTGCGACCTTTATAGTGTACACGCAAGGGGAGAATCTTTTACATGATGCTACGCGTTTAGAACGCCTCTGGAAAATGCCGAGCGAGACAGCCAGTCGTTTCAGACCGTGCGTACCTTTGAGAAAGTTGGAGACGTCTTCGAGCTGGGGAACATTGTCTTCCCGGTAACCGCAGTTCTCCATCAGGAGCGGGAAGATGTGGTTGTGCTCCCGGCAGGCGTGGGTCTTGTACAACTTGGTCAGCTCTCGAAACACGATGCCCCTGAAGACAACCGAAAAGAAACCATTAGACAAAGCTACTTGCCGTACCTTACATAAGCTAAAAACGTGAAAAAAAAGGGAAGAAAACGTGCAAAAAGAAAATGAAAGAAAACAAGCGACGTTTCAAGCGTACGCCCTTCGCCAGACTATGGGAAAACTGTAGTAAGTTACAGCTCAAGAAGGTAGGGCGAGGGAAAGAAAGGCTCGGAAGAGAGAAGCAAACGAAACGCTGGAGAGGGGGAAATCATTCCTCTCTCCAGCTTTCCGATTGCTTCTTCCTCCTGGGCCTTCCTTCCCTCGCTCTACCTTCTTAGCTCGTTTCACGACACCCGTGCCCACGCGTGCCCGCTCGCAGCGTGGAAAGGGTTCGTCTTGGTTTTAAATAGGGATGCCGCGAACTTTTTTCGAATCGAAGTTTCGATGATCGAATCAAGCGGTTCGAAAGGTTCGAAAGATTTCGATTTTTCGAATCGTCTATATCGTAAAATTCGACGGAGGTCGAATTTTCGAACTTGTTAAGCAAAGAAGTTCGAGGCTTTTCGAACCGTCGACCTTATTACGCTAAAAAATTCGATCTTTTTCGAACTTTCGAACTTATTGCGCTGCAAGGTTCGATGCTTGTCGAACTTTCGAACTTGACTGACCAAAAAATTCGATGAATTTCGAACTTTCGAACTTATTTATCAAGAGAATTCGAAAAGTTTCGAACTTTCGGATTCTGAAAAGTCTGAAGTTCGACGAACTTCGAACTTTTAGGGTAAAAGTTCGACGTTCGTCGAACTTCGAAAGACCGGCGGACGGTTTCATTTGATTTCAAGTAGTAGGGTACATTCGTAATTTTTTTTCTCGAACTTTTACACGCGGTGCTGCGTTCCTTACGAAAGACAATGTCGTTTATTTCAATGTTCTGGCATGCTTAGGTTTAAAGAAATAAATCCCCGAAGGGGCGAGGAAGGACGACGGGTTTTTAACGATTATCGTTTGTGCCAGATTTGAAGTACGCTGCAGTCGGAGCTATTTATGGTAGATATGTTATACTTTTTTAAAGAATGATCTATGTATAGCCTAGGTAAGTGCCGTCTTAAGATGTGATTATTGTTATTCAACGTGAGTTTCGAAGAAATGTCCAAACATGTATCTGCATGCAATTATAACCTAAACTTGATATTTATTTTCGTCTACGTTGTTTGAGGTATCGCATTTAAATTAACACCACAGACAGTACATATCATTGCCATCTGCAGAATACGAAATAATATATTTATTGTTTTTTCACGTTGAGGAATAAATTAACTCATGGGAGAAGATTTCTAATAGTGTTCAAGTTCAGCACGTCATTAAAAGAAAACTTTTTTTTTTTTTTTCGCTTCACGTTCCTGGGACGTGTTTCTTTTAGCCTGTACAGAGTTTGGTAAAAGAGACTTGTTTCGAAGTTCTGAATCTCTGAATATGCAAGAATAGAACACTTCCGACGAATTCTTGATAGTTTTTTTTTTCTCCTGCTCTTATTCCCGCATTTATTCTTTTTTTCTTTTTTTGTTACTATCGGCACAGGTGTTTAGGTCGAAAAAACAGCTTTGAACTTCCGAACCACTAAGCATGTGACGAGCAGTGCCTTCTGACAACGAGGTTCTAACAATGACCATCTACGCAACCTTTTATGCAGTGAAGAGCGACAGCAGCCATACATATGCATAAATAATTTCAGATTAAAATAAGCTCGACCACGCCCTCTTTCCCCGTATTGTTTTCTTTAACAGTTCGAAATACCTGCAAGGGGGAGAAGGAGGCTGAAGCCCCCCCCCCCCCCCCCCCCCCCCCCCCCCTCCGCTACCCTCTTTCCCCCCGTTTTTCCTCTTCCGACGCCACTTGTGTGGTAGAACGCTCCTCGACCTCGAGTTGTGTCGGCTTTTGTGCTTTTTGCGAGGCGATTCCTCCGTCCCAGAAAATAAACCTCCAGGACAATTATAAACTTCACCGGATCGGGTGCAAGGGGTGGCGAGGTAGTTTGCCAGGTCGCTTCAAGGTTTTTCTGAGCCTCAACCTCCTGCTCGTTCTGGCCGTTTCGAACTGGATGAGTCTCGTAAAACAGTGTATTCGTGCAATCACTACTGCGTGATGCAAATTAAAGACCCCCCCCCCCCCGGGCTGGCGGTCACAATTCTGCAATGGCAAATATTCTAGCACGTCCGGGACACTCACCAACTTCGCAGAATCTAGATATCACACCCTAACTTTTCTAAACTTGATTTCATGAAAACCAGTGAGTCGTGAAAACGTTATTTGAAACTGAAACCGTGGAAAAACTTTAAGATCGGACTTCGAACTTTGAAAACTTGGACTAAAAAGAAATTCAAAATCTTCAAAGATTTTTTTTTTAATTTAGCGTTAAAAGAGAATCGAAACCTTCGAACTTTTCGAACTTTATGCAAAAAGAAATTCGAAATCTTCGAATTGTTCGAACTTCGTGTCTATAAAAATTCGAAGCGTTCGAAGTTTTCGAATTTTTTTTACACAGAATTTCGAGATCTTCAAATTTATCGAACCTGAAGTAAAAAAATATTCGAAATATTCGAATTCGAAATTTTGGAAACCGTGAAAGCTTCGAAATTTTCGAATTCGAAACTCGGTCGGTACGAAAATATCGAAATTTTTCGAAATCGAACCTCAGTTCGCTTCGCAAATATCGAAACCTTTCGAAATCGAACCTAGGGTGGTTCGCGACATCCCTAGTTTTAAAATCGCGCAAAAGACGAGGACAGAGTAAGAAACACAAACGACGGACGAGCGCTCGTCCGTCGTTTGTGTTTCTTACTCTGTCCTCGTCTTTTGCGCGCTTTTAAAACCAAGATGAATAACTACCAACTAGCCCAACTTTCCACCCTACTGGAAAGGGTTCGCTTCGGCGGGCACTCCACGAGTGGCTGCACTCTCTGACTTCGTTTCGGCGCCGGCACTCGCGTGCATGCACCCACTGGGCGCGTTAAGTTAACGCTCTCGAGCGCACTCCAGCGGTCGGAGTGCACTCCAGCTTAAACTAAACGACATCGTCTCATTTCCGGTGCACGGTGGCGGCGCGCGGTCCGCGAGCTCCATCGTCGGAGATGGTGCGCGAGAGCTCTTACAGGCCGGTGTCCGGTAAGATGATTGAGTTCCGATCTCACGGCCAGTCTCGCGGTGGTCTCATGTGTCTCGCGTTATATTCTCGACGGCGATCAGGTGGCAGTCCGTGCAATCGTTCGTCATCGTGGGGGATAAAATGCTGGTGTGGACAGGTATGCATACATCCTTCAAATGCTTGTCGAAG